TATTTGCATTCAGATCGAGGAAAACGTGGAACGCCATGATCGTTAGAAATTGGAAGTATGGTGGCATAATTATGTCGCTTGGGTTGTCCTGAAACGATTCATTTGCCTACAAGAGCTGATCAGAAAATCTACCTGAGGATCAGTGCACATCAGACGGTTGTACACTATCCAGAAGAAGCGCACGAACTCGTTTTCAGATATTGGCTGACCGTTGATTCGTATCCGTTCGCGAACTTGAATCAGATGCGGAGAGCTAGAGCACAATAGCACAATCAATGCTGTATAACAAGCTCGTAACGAGGCTATTGGCTAATACGGCTGAAGAGTACAGCGGTGGTGGCGATCGCCGCCAGCACTCACAAGTCACATATGTCCTTGTCTCCGTCTTTAACTGCTCAGCCAATGGCGTCGTGTCAAGCTTACCTAACATATGTACCTGAAGAATCCGGTTCGATAACCGTATTGCCTGAGAATGCTTTCGGCAAACGCACATGTGGAGCCCTTTCCTTTCGTACCGGCGACGTGTATTATATTCAGACGATCCAAAGTTTCTAACTATTTAGCAAAATTAACGTTATGTAAAATTTTAAATACGCTTATTAAAAATTAAAGCTGATAGCGACTAAGAAATTAAACAACTTCTGTAATTCCTAACCTCTAAAATTAATATAAACTTTTATTAACGGGCTATCGATAACTGGAAACGGTTATGTTTCCTGACTGCACTGTCAGATTCATTTTACAGAAACGAAATTATTGTTCAGCATCTAACGCCAGCATGCGCGTCGCCGACAGTCGCACACTTCTAAAGTCAGTCACCTAACTAGATTGAGGTAATCAAAGTTGGTGCAGACATCTGTATGCTTTTTCTGTATTTGAGTGAGAGTTACTCAGTCGTTGAAGTATCCGATTAATGTTAGAAAGATCATCAGTTGGAATTTCGACCGGCTGAGTTGTCTTTTATCCTTCCAAACATCATAACCGAATGCATGCCGCTTGTTGGCAAAATAAACAGTAGGCTACATGCTGCACCAGTCGTATGTCAGTAGACAATGCCTTTAAAACAAACCACTCTTAGGCTGATTGCAGACAAAGAACGACCAGCGTCGAACCATAGATTGCATGAAAAACAACGGTGTCATATCATAAATGAAACTCATCATAAGAAAAATTAAGGAACAAACGCATGCGAACGGCTATGAAATGTCCTTTATCTGTGACTACGATATTTTCTCTGTACCATATTTATTTGTGCTAAAGAAGCAGCAGCGTCGTAGTTTCAGAATAGGTCACCTAACAAATGCTTCTCAAATTTTCTGGCCGTTTTGTTCTTAACGACCTAGCAATACGAGTTTGTGTGTGTTTTCGAACCACGCTAACTTTCGTTCTTTTACTACTTTATATTACTACTGAAAGTATAAGTGTAAAGCCCAGTTTCGACGAACAAATTTCGCGAACACGAATCGATCACCTGAATTCCGCTACGGTACAAATGATCCTTGAACAACGCTAGTTTCTTCGCCGGATCGTTGTCTATGCGTTGGGAGATTTTCTCGCGGACGCTCGCGTTGCTCTGCAGTGTATTAAGCTGCTCTATCGTTTTCTAGACATGTACTCATTAGCGATATAGCCAAAGCATAGCATACATACACATTAGCTAGCAGAGCATACACATTCATAAATCAACGTGAATGACATTCTGGAAGAGAGGAAATAAAAAAAAGTTCGAACAAGGCACCGAGGCAAACGGCAAGCAAACAC